AAATGTCTGATCCCCAGACATCTGCACCATAGAGTAAAATGGGTTTAATGTTTGAATGAAATAATTTCAGAAAGAGTTTGATGTCAGTGATCCCTTCCAATGTTTTATTCAATATAAACATAGCTTTGCATGCTTTCTCTGCTTCTATAAAATTTCCAGATGATGAGATTATTATCCCAAGATAAGTATAACTTGTCACACAGCTAATAATTGTATATATGCTTTATTGTATGCTTTATTGAGAGACTCCAACGCAAGGGGACCAATCAGCGACCAGCAAACCTTATGGAATTTACTTGGTAACGCATCGTTCCCAGGTGAGTTATTATTCCAATGGCCTCCTCCATAGTGATAGAGTCATGTCCTCAGAAATGTTTGGTACATCAACATGTTTCAAAAAAGTAATCTGTATGAATACCATTATCTGAAGAGTAAAACTTAGTGTAAAATGACTTAATTTATGTCGGGAAGTGTATTCACAATGGAGATACTTGTTTAATCAGTTTGCTGATTTGTTTGCATTAACTTTTTTCCAACTGCACGATTTTTTTGGAGATATTCATGGAACAGACAAACGTTATTTAAAGGTCTGAAGTTTATCGGTCATTAAAGGGGAACCGCTCAATCCCATGGATTGCACCAAAGAATCATGGGACACTATTGTTTATGTTGTTTACAATGTTAATCTATCTTTTGTTATCCATTGTTATTTTAATCCAGAAAGTAAATTTGTTGTGAGATTAGGCTTAACTGGAAGGTGCCCCTTTAACTAGTGAGATATGATTATATACATTTGTACTACGTATGATATAGACTGATTTTGATGAGACCTGAACAAGTAAAAAAAAGTACTATACTATCAAAAGGATTGTTCACAAATCAGATATTGTTCGTTCAGTTATTATTCAAAGCGGGGGAGGGGGGTCATCACCTGCGCACGCGCGGTAAATGAGTCCCAAGCGATGATAACAATTCACACTAAAAACGCAAAGGCTCATGGGTTGACGCCTGTTTGTAAACAATGGCACGCTATGGGCATCTGACGTATGCGCAGGTGGCGACTCCCCCGCAT